TGCCATTGATTAGGATGAGCTAAAAGTATCAAATAAGGCAGTATGCTTTCACATACTCCAGAAGTATGGCAGGTTTCTTCTGTAGGGAGGTTTAGTATACATTTAGTATTGTAGTTACATTTTCTGATTACATAAATATTCCTTTAAAATGCATATATGCACAAGAGCTACCATAGCTACAGTAAAAAAAACTGTCTAGGTGGGATTAAGCCACAATCCTGTACACACCACAGAATAAACCCAATGAATAAATTGGGACTTGCTTGTGAATTAAACATACATAGGATTTAGGGTTGCCAGTCTCCAGGTGGGGCCTTGAGTCTCTCCTGCTTTTACAACTGATCTCCAGCTGACAAAGATCAGCTCCCCTGGAGAAAATGGCTGCTTTGAAGGGTGGACTCTATGGCATTGGACCCTGCTGAGGCCCCTCCCCAAACCCCACCCTCTCCTGGATCCACTGCCAAAGTCTCCAGGTATTTTCCAACCCAGACCTGGTAAATTCAGTGAAGCTTAGTTCCTAGGTATTTAGGATTACAGCTTCATCCCTACAGGCCAATCCCAAATACATTTACGTGGAAATAACTCCTTGATGATGCCTAAAACACACAAGGTGCTCAGGATGTCCTACTAAAGGGGGAAACGGCCAGAACTAATTACAATTATTCTCACCTCCCTTTTCTGTACGCAGCATTCGGTTTTCTAAGGCGGAACAATGTATGGTTATTTTACTTCAACAAGGATGATAGGATTATTATAGGACTATTATAGGATTCGCTTCTGCGGCAGACTCGCTGCCCTTTTCGCCAGCCGCTTCCTCCAAAGCTTTCCGACCCCTCCATTCCCTCTGCCCTGCTCTGACACTGCCTCTCCACCAGCTCCTCCCCTGTTCGGCTCAGCGCATGCGGGCGCCAGAAGAGAGCACCGGGAGGCTATGGCGGTGCCTGGCGCGGGGCTGACGCGTTACCTCCTGCTGCTGGCGCAGGAGAACTTGGCATTCCGGCTGCCGGTGAGTCTTAACCAAGCGCTCGCGCGCCCTCCCGCTAAGAACTTGCAGCTGCTCGTTCCTGGAGCCGCAGTTGTCCCCTGTTTATGGCACAGACGTTTCAAAAAGCGCGGAACTGGGCCGGTTCCTTTGTGCGTCGTCTGGGTCTTCTTGCTCGTTTTGACACCACGGCTAGTTTTCCTTACGAGTGGTGACAGTTGCTTATGAGGAGTTATGCACAAATACAAGTCTTCAGTGACTTGATAGCGGCGCTTTGTTCCTCTGACTTATTCTCATCTCCTTTGTCCGTGCTTTTCAAACAAGAGTTTTCTGTGTGGGAGGGGTGTTATTTGGGGGAGGAGGCTGAAAAACTGCTTATACTAGCAGCTTACACACACACACACTACTACTACTAGTAGTAGTAGTAGTCAAGGGAGCATTGGAAGAAGCGGAGAAATATGACCATTGTAGGGTAAGTGCTGTTGTACTAGCAGCTTACACACACACACACACACACACACACACACCTACTAGTAGTAGTAGTCAAGGGAGCATTGGAAGAAGCGGAGAAATATGACCATTGTAGG